CAAAAAAGACTTACGGTTTCCCCCCGGGGATGGACGCCAGGCTGGAGGGGAGGCCGGGGGCTCTCATGGGTGGGTGCGGGTCAAAACCAACCTGCCAAGAGACAGACAGAGACGTGGGTGAGGCCGGGCAGGAGCTGGGCACACCAGCAAACACCTCCCCACACCCCAGCCCCGAGCCCCACCAGGTTGTGGGGGACACTCAGTGACTCCCCCTTTACATAGAATCACTCAGGTTAGAAGAGACCCTTGGGATCATGGAGTCCAACCATCTCCCCTACTCTACAAAGTCCTCCCCTACCCCATCTCCCTCAGTACCCCATCTAAACATCCCTTCAACACAGCCAGGGATGGGGACTCCACCCCCTCCCCGGGCAGCCTGTTCCAATGCCCGACCACTCTCCCTGTGAAAAATTCCTTCCTTTTCCCTTGCTGCTCCATAGCTAATGGTTATTTTTTCCCTGCCAGAATGGGAAGAACTGGGGAATCAGCTCAAAGGCTTCTGGTCTGCAGGGACCACCATGGGACATTCTCACCCTCCCCGTGCTGTTCCCAAGCCCCCAGGGACAGGAGCAGCCTAGCACCCCAGGAACCCCCAATCTCTGCATTAAGAGCAGTGTTTTGCTTCTTGATTTCCCTGGATTTTGCCTTAAAGCCTTCGATTGAATGTTTAGCAAGAGTTAAGACTGCACAGTGGGTACCTCCCACCTGCGGGGGGGGGAGGAATAAACCCCAAAGTGGTGCCACCCCACCCTATGGGGCAGGCATCTCCACACCCAGCATCTTTAAACAGTGCCCGATTCAAAATGCAATGAGGAGCCCCAATTTCACAGCCAACACAGGGAAGCCCCCCCTCCCACTGGCTGCCCCCAGCACCCCTCCAGACCCTCCCCACACCCCACCCCGAGCCAGAAAAGGAGCTAAAAATGCTACGTACAGCTCCAAAGCTCACCATTGGCGACCGGCCGTAGGCGGCGGCGGCGGCGGCAGCGGCGCTCATCTGCGGGGGGATGTTGTGGAGCCCCGCGTAGGCCCCGGGGCTGGTGAGAGACCCGTTCATCTCGTGGTGCCCCATCATGGCAAAGGGAGCCGCGTAGGAGCCCGCGATGGAGATGGGCGTCCGCAGGGCTGAGGCTGTGGGAGGGCAGGGGACACCGTCAGGGGATGGAGACCACCAGCATCCAAAGCCTTGCTCACCCCAGAAGGGAAGAGGCAATGGCTGGACCTCCCTCACCCCATCTCTGGCACGGGGAACCCCCCTGAGCAGCCAGCACCCCTGTCCTGAGCTGGATTAGGTCCCAAATAAACCTGAAACCCCCCCACAAAGGTGCTGTGCCCCCAGTGGAGGGCATAGACCGGAGCTGTGCTGGGGACAGCAGCCCCGAGATGACACCAGGGGACTGGTACCCACCCAGGGGGTCCATGCCAGTCGGTTTGCCAGTCACTGGCAACAGCCCCGGGGTGCTGCTGGTCCCCGGGGTGGGAGCATCATTCCTCAGCGTCAGAGTGTTCGAGCATCCAGCCCCCCTCCGCCCAGAGAAGATGCCATGGCTGGATCTCCCCCTCCTCACCCCATCCCTGGCACGGGGAACCCCTCTGAGCAGCCAGCACCCCTGTCCTGAGCTGGATTAGGTCCCCAATAAACCTGAAACCCCCCAACAAAGGTGCTGTGCCCCCAGTGGAGGGCATAGACCGGAGCTGTGCTGGGGACAGCAGCCCCGAGGTGACACCAGGGGACTGGTACCCACCCAGGGGGTCCATGCAAGTTGGTTTGCCAGGCATTGGCCACAGCCCCGGGGTCGGAACATCATTCCTCAGTGTTGGAGTGTTTGAGCATCCAGCCCCCCTCCGCCCAGAGAAGATGCAGTGGCTGGATCTCCCCCTCCTCACCCCATCCCTGGCACAGGGAACCCCCCTGACAGCCAGCACCCCTGTCCTGAGCTGGATTAGGTCCCCAATAAACCTGACACCCCCCCCCAGAGATGCTATGCCCCCAGAGGGTGGCACAGACTGGAGCTGTGCTGGGGACAGCAGTGTCGAGGTGACACCAGGGGATTGGTACCCACCCAGGGGGTCCATGCCAGTTGGTTTGCCAGGCATTGGCCACAGCCCCGGGGTGCTGCTGGTCCCTGGGGTGGGAGCATCATTCCTCAGTGTCGGAGTGTTCAAGCATCCAGCCCCCCTCAGCCCAGAGAAGATGCAGTGGCTGGATCTCCCCCTCCTCACCCCATCCCTGGCACAGGGACCCCCCGGGCTGCCAGCACCCCTGCCCCGAGCTGGATTAGGTCCCCGATAAACCTGGAATGCCCCCCGAGGATGGCATGGGCTGGAGCTGTGCTGGGGACAGCAGCCCCGAGGTGACACCAGGGGACTGGTACCCACCCAGGGGGTCCATGCCGGTGGGTTTGCCGGGCATCGGCCGCAGCCCCGGGGTGCTGCTGGTCCCCGGGGTGGGAGCATCGTTCCTCGGCGTCGGAGTGTTCGACTTGAGCCCGGGCGTCGAGGATTTGTCGTTCTGGATGGAAAGGGATGAAAAAACAGAAAGGATGAGGTTCAGCCACCGGCACCTGCAGCCCCAGCTCGACAAGCCCCCAGACCCAGCACGGCCTGACCCCCCCAGCAGAGCGAAGGACGTACGTGGCCCAGGTCTTTAGTCTTGGAGGAGGGAGTGCTGCTGGAGGAGGCGACCGAGGCCGGGCTGTTCGGAGCATCCCCCTTCTTCAGCCCACGGGCTTTGTCTATGCCGTTCTCCGGAGGGGAGTGGGCTGGGCTGACCCGGGGGGTGGCAGGGTCCTGTGGGACAGGAGAAAGCACTTGGCACCCCCCCCAAGCAGCGGGGAGGGCTCCCTCCGGCTCCTCTTTCAGGCAGGAATTGGGCCGGTGTCGGGGGACCCCCAAGACATGACCCCCCAAAGCCCCCCCTGTGCCGCAGGGAGAGGAGGGGACCTACCGAAACGCCCCCCAGGGCTCACCTCATTGGAGACATCCACCACCAGGTCATCGCTCTTGTCACCATCGCTGTCCTGAAACGCAGAGCGAGTCACATCCCGCAGCGAGCTGCCAGACCCTGGGGGGACGGGGAGCCCCCCCCAAGCCCCGGGGGGAGCCAAACCCCCCATCCCCAGCAGCAGGACACGGGTCACCCACACCACCTTTGGAAAAATATTACCCAAACCCCACTTTCTCCCACCCAAAGTCCTGCCCCAACGTGTGCCACCCCCCACCCTGTGCCTCGTGTCCCCCGTGTCCCCCCAGCTGCTCTCAGACCCCCCCAGGCCACAGCACGTCCCCATCACTCACATATCGGCTCATGCTGTCCTTCTCCTCCGCTTTCCGCTTCTTGGAGTCGATGCTGTAATCTGTGGAGCTCCGGTGCTTCTCGCTGGCTCTCAGGCTTTCCGAGGGCGAAACAGAATTATTCTGCAGTAACAGAGGAAACTTTTTAAGTTGGGAACAGAAGGAAACAGGATTTCACGAGCAGGCAGCTTAGAAGGTGCCACAACCAGCCCCTCCGGCCAGCCCCCAAAATCCAGCCTTGCAAAACCCCTGCAGAGAGGGGAAAAGCTGTGCTCCCCTAACCCAGCCCCATCTCCATCCTCTGACCCACCACGGGGAGCACCAGCCCCATCACCATCCTCCTCTGCCCAACCACAGGGACCACCAGCCCCATCACGATCATCCTCTGCCCAACCACAGGGACCACCAGCCCCATCACCATCATCCTCTGCCCAACCACAGGGACCACCAGCCCCATCACCATCATCCTCTGCCCAACCACAGGGACCACCAGCCCCGTCACGATCATCCTCTGCCCCCCAAGGGGAGCACCAGCCCTGTCACCATCATCCTCTGCCCCCCAAGGGGAGCACCAGCCCTGTCACCATCATCCTCTGCCCCCCAAGGGGAGCATCAGCCCCATCACCATCATCCTCTGCCCCCCAAGGGGAGCACCAGCCCCATCACCATCATCCTCTGCCCCACAAGGGGAGCACCAGCCCCATCACCATCATCCTCTGCCCAACCACAGGGAGCCCCAGAGCTCCACCCCTGGGCAGAGGAAGGGCTTGGCACAAGTGCTGGCACCCATGATCGCTTCCCCTGGCACCAGCAGAGCCAGGGCCTCATCCCCAGGGATGAGGGGATTCCTTCAGGGAGCCAAGGAACCTCTCCAGCCCAGCCCTGGCCGAGCTGCCCCAGCAGCAGAGCTCTGCCCAGCCGAAGGGCATCCAAAAAAAAAACACTCGGAAAAATCCACGTCGCTGGGAAAGGCAGAGCCCAACTCCGCTCAGGGCAGGGGTGTTTCTGTGCTCCCTTCAAGCAGCAAAGCCCGGGAGATGCTGGCATTCCCAGGAAAACCCCTTGCATGCCGGGATTGGGCTGGGAATGAGAAATGGGAGCGCAAAACCCCCTCCCAAGCTCCAGAGACGGCCCCCGCCCCGCGCAGACACCCTTCCATTAGTTTCTGGGAGCAGCAGGAGAAATCCCCATCCCTTCATGTCTGGTGGCAGAGCCCGCCACCCCTGCTAAGCAGAAACCTTCCTAAGCTCCTCCAGCCTGCCTTTCTTTCCCAGCTGAAAGGGAGAACTAAAGCAGTTCATGTTTCTCCTCGGTACCCAATAAGCAGCTTTGGATAACACCGGGGTCTTTCTTCTCAGGCAGTCATGCTGAAAAACCTCGCAGCTACCAGAGAATCATGTCAAGCATTTAGAGGCATCGATCCATTCAGCCCCGCCGCAAAGGGCATCCAAAAAAACACTCGGAAAAATCCATGTCGCTGGGAAAGGCAGAGCCCAACTCCGCTCAGGGCGAAGGGCATCCAAAAAAAAAACACTCGGAAAAATCCACGTCGCTGGGAAAGGCAGAGCCCAACTCCGCTCAGGGCGGGGGTGTTTCCGTGCTCCCTTCAAGCAGCAAAGCCCGGGAGATGCTGGCATTCCCAGGAAAACCCCTTGCATGCCAGGATTGGGCTGGGAATGAGAAATGGGAGCGCAAAACCCCCTCCCAAGCTCCAGAGACGGCCCCCGCCCCGCGCAGACACCCTTCCATTAGTTTCTGGGAGCAGCAGGAGAAATCCCCATCCCTTCATGTCTGGTGGCAGAGCCCGCCACCCCTGCTAAGCAGAAACCTTCCTAAGCTCCTCCGCCTGCCTTTCTTTCCCAGCTGAAAGGGAGAACTAAAGCAGTTCATGTTTCTCCTCGGTACCCAATAAGCAGCTTTGGATAACACCGGGGTCTTTCTTCTCAGGCAGTCATGCTGAAAAACCTCGCAGCTACCAGAGAATCATGTCAAGCATTTAGAGGCATCGATCCATTCAGCCCCGCCGCTGGCCCGCCGCCAAGAAACTAAATATTTTTTATTGCGCAGGCAAGGCTAGGAAAATATGAATGACTAACTCTGATTATCGTGCGCATTAAACCTCCACGGGGAATTACCTCCTCCCCCTCCCCACCCCCTGATTTTATTTTATAGATCGGGAGCCTTCCCATCCCTGACGGCCCCCCTCCCCGCCGAGGGAGCGGGTTAATGATGCCCAATTCCCCTCTCCCCCCTCTCTTAAATGACATTTTTTCCTTCCCATCCGCCCCCGGCCTCTCAAAAGGCCCATTTGTGGGCTCGGGGATGGCAGGAAATCGCTGCAAAGCCGCGGCTCAGCCAGGCTTTGTTCCTGCCAGCTTTTCCCCGAGACGGCGGCATTGTGTGCCCCGGGGTGGGGGGCACGGGCTGAGCCCCCCCATAAAGCTTCTACCAGCCTTTCCCCACCCAAAAAATACATCCCCATCCACACTCGGGCGCTGCACCAGGGCAAAAACAAGAACCAAAGGGCTGCTATTAACAGGGAGGTGTCAGGGACACAAATAAAAAGCGGCGGCGCTGGAGGTGAGGGCTGCCCTCCACCACGGTTATTTAGCTGGTTAGTTAACTGCTTGACCTTCCAAGTCCTACTTAACACGGCATAATAGCCCCAAACCCATCCCGGCAGATTAGATGACCCAAGATAATAGAAGAGTGATCAGGAATAAAACAGCCTTTCCCCAAGCGCCGAAGGGTTTTCAGCCGCGCAGACCTGACCGGGCTCATTCACGGGGCTCAGTCAATTGAAACCGAATCTGGGAGCTCCCCAGCAAATCAAAAAAAGATTTAAACCAAATCTCAGAACCAGCCCGGCACAGCCGGCAGCCCGGCAGCCCTTTCAGCCAGGGCAGGGGGCTTTTTTTTTTTTTATTAAATAGGACCTGGGCAAAAGGCATCCCCAGAGCTCACGGCCAGAAATCCGTTTTTCAAACCCAAAGATAAAACAAAAAGACACAGCCACCAGAAACCAAGAAAAAAGGGACTTACTGCACTTGAGTCTCGCTCTTTCAGAAGAAGCCGGTGTCAGAAGCGAGGTCACAGCCAAATAAAGAGAAGACATAAATAAAGCAAGTTAGAATAAGTCTTTAAACAGGAAAATAAACCTAAAAGCTCCTCCTTATGTGGCTCCTGCCTCGACTCAAAACCCATCCAGGCTCTTTGGCTCTGCTTTGAGATTCCCGTCCCCATCCATCCAGCTCCCGCTGCCTCCTGCCTCTTCCTTTGTGCGGACGTGATTTATTTGGCAAAACACGCGGAGGAGAGGGGAAACGTCCCAAAACACAAAGGGAACGGCATCAGCTGAAGGTGCTGGTACCCAAAGTCACAGACCCAGGAGAAGGTCCTCGTCACCCAGCTCCATGGCCACGCTGGTGGGACACGGTCTGCCCTGAATTTGCAGAGAAACAGCCCCCTTTTCCCTGGCACCTCCTGGCAAATGTGAAATCCGCTCAGAAAAATGAATGTAACCGCGTAATGGCTGCCCACAGCTCCTCTTCTCGGGGAGAACCACCCCAAAGGCACCAGCAGTGGAGCCCAGCAGCCCCCAGGAGGCTGCAGGTAACTGCCCCCCAAATGGGCACGTCCCGGGGAAGCCCCCAGGTCCCCATGTGCCAACGGGCTGGGGGTCTGCAGGGACAATCCTCAGCGCCGGTGCTTTGCAACCAAACTCACACATCGCTTTTCCCCTTCTAAAAAATTGTCTTATTGCTATTAATAAGAAAAAAAACCCAAACAAACAGGCAGTTTGTTAGTGAATATTCCTGGTTTCCAGACCACTTAAAGTCTCTGAGAGTGATGGAGAGGAGGAGGAGGAGGAGGAAGGCGGCTTCAACGTTAAGGCACTGCTGCCTGGGGACATGGGACCTGCAGCACGACTCCATCAAACCCGTGGGGACCCAAACCAGGCTGTGAACTGGGGCTGGGGGGCAGTAAACAAATCGCCCTGACAGAGATCAGTCTGATGGTGTCACTTCTTGGGACAATCAGTGTTCCCCATCCTTAACGAGCAAAGCAAGGACCAAGTCTGGAGGCAGGTCTGCTCTCCTGGCACCTCCCGGAGACCCCACCATCCTCGAGCATCCTGACCCCGGCCAACAAGGGAGCAGGGGAAGTTTTAGCATCACCTAGAAGCTGCTGCTGGGAATATCCTCCAGCAGTGCCATCGCCTCCCAGGCTGATTTAAGGAGCTTGAGCATCACTTAGGGAAAGCTGCATCCCATCCCTTGGACCTTGAGCATCGTTTAGGGGAAGCTGCGTCCCTCAAAGCAGCATCCCATCCCTTGGACCTTGAACACCATATCTAGGGAAAGCTACATCCCTAAAAGCTGCATCCTGTATCTTGGACCTTGAGCATCATTTAGGGGAAGCTGCACCCCTAAAAGCAGCTTCCCACCCCCTGCATCCCACCCCCTGAGGGAGGAGGCAGTGGGAGCAGAGCTGTGCCTGGACCAAGGTACTTCCAGCACCAAAGGACGAGGTGATGAGCAGCCCCCCCGAGGGGACCCACACCCACCCGAGCCCTCGTTCTCACCTCTATGGTCCAGGTCGTGATGGTTTTTCTCGTCCTTGACGGCGAGGTGAGCCTGGCTCCCCAGGGCACCGAGGGCCAGCAGCCCCGAGCTGCTGCCGGTGACGGGCGGGAGGCCCGGGGGCTGGAGACCCGAGGGATGCGGGGGCAGCTGCACCGGGGGCCCGTGGGCGGCGTGGGAGAGGTGCTGGGCCTGGAGCTGCTGCTGCTGCAATGAGACCACCAGTGAGGTGGGGAGGGGGCACTGGGACCAGTGAAGTGGGGTTGGGTGGGGAGGGGGGGTCGTGGAGGCATCGAGCAGCCCCGGGAAGGGGGATGCCCGGCGAGGAGACGCTGCCCCGCTCGGCTGCCTGGAAGGAGAAGCCCCGTTAGCAGGAGGGACGGAGGGGCCCGTGCATGGCCTCTGGGGACAGTCCCCCACAACACGGCCGGGTGGCATGAGTGCCTGCGTGGCACACACACCCCCCCCAGAATGCAAGAGCCACCCTCAATTCAAGGTAATTCCCATCATCGCTGCAGATTTGGACGGTTTCGCTTTTCATAGAGTCATAGAATGGTTTGGGTTGGAAGGGACCTCAAAGATCATCATTTCCAACCCCCTGCCCTGGGCAGGGACACCTCCCACCACAGCAGGTTGCTCAAGGTCACATCCAGCCTGGCCTTGAACCCCTCCAGGGATGGGGCAGCCACAACTTCCCTGGGCATCCTTTCCTTGGATATTAAGCAGAAAAGAAAAGAAAGAAAGAAAGAAATAGCACCTCGGACCCCGCAAGCAGCTCTGGCTGGAGGGAGCACCAGCTGCTGAACCACAGCGGGGGAAGGAAACTCAAACATCCAGGACCCTCACAGGACACCTCAGAAAGGAAGAGTTTTGCTTTCTTTGCTCAGGATCAACTTTAAGGCGCCGGAGGGTGAGAGGAAAACTGCCCACAGGGTGGCCATGCCCCATCCTGTCACTCCTGTCCCCCTCCCACAGCAGCTGGATGGGGACAGGGATGGCCGAGCCGTGGGGGCAGCCTCAGCCCGGGGCTGGGCATCGGAGGAAGGAAGAAAACCCAAACACAACCCTCCCCGTGCTTCTACTTCAACTACAAACTCGAAAACAAGCTGAAATCCCAGTTGCTGGCCACCAGTCAAGGACCTGCCCTTGGTGGTGGCACTTCCAAAGAGCCCCAGGTCACTGCTCCTGTGGCTCCTCCACCCCGGGGACACCAGCCACCCGGCCAGGAGGGTCTCAGAGCTGGCACCCGTGATTCCCACCCTCCTGCCTGCACCCACGGCCACCCCGAGCAGCACCCAGTTAGCCACCAGTGAAAGCTGCATTTGGGGCAACTGACTTCCAGCAGGACCCTCAGGCTGGGGGGGGGACACACACTCGAGCTGCAGCAGAGCCCCCTGTGCCTCCCCCAGCTCAGGTCAGGTTTTCTCCCTCCCCGGTGCCACCAAGCATGGCAGAAGGGGTCCCCAGAGCAGGCAGCTTTCTCACAGGGAGGGTCCCACAGCACAACGAGTGGGTGCACCTCCATCCCACCCCCCTGCATGGAGGGAGAGCAGAAGACCCTTCCCACAGGGTTCAGTAGGGCTCAGACCCAGCCAGGGAGCGAGGGGGGGCTGCCATGCCACCACAGCTCAGCAGGGACACCCCAAAAATATCTCCTGGGTCTGTGGGACCCTACATTTCCAACATTTCCATCAAGGAAATAGAACCATAGAATTGTCCAGGCTGGAAGACACCTTTCAGGTCATGGAGTCCAACCACCAACCCAGCACTGCCAAACCCATCCCTGACCCATGGCCCTCAGCACCACATCTGCCCGGCTTTTAGATACCTCCAGGGATGGGGACTCCACCACTGCCCTGGGCAGCCTCTGCCAAGGCTTCACAACCCTTCCCAGGAAGGACTTCTTCCCAATATTCATCCTAAACCTCCCCTGGTGCAACTTGAGGCCAGCACATTGTCCCCGGAGCTGCAAGGGGAGGCACCCAGGTGTCCCCAACAGGGTCTGGGGGGGACACGACCCCAGCACAGCCCACAGAACACACAGGGAAAGATCTGAGAGCGGGTTTAACCCAAGGTGTGTGTTCACAGCTCGACCCCCTCCTGCAGGGAGGGGGCACTTCAGTTTTCCTCCTGCCCTGGAGCAAGGCTGGTGCCCCCCAGCCTGCAGCCCCCCCACCCACAGTGCAGCAAAGGGTCCTGTTGCAAGGCTGCCCATCCAGACCCCCAGCAAGGCTGGGGGCACCATGCACCCCCCAGGTGCACCCCACAAACACCCCGTTAGCCCCCCCAGGAGCTGGGGTGCAGCTTTATGGGAAAATCCCCCAAACTGTAGCCACGTCTCCAGGTGCAGCACAGCTTCCACCCACCTCCCCACTGAAGGACCTATTTTGGGGGGCAGCAGGAAGGGGGGGATGACTTGTCACATGACAACGAGCACCACGGTACCGAGAAGACTCTGGTCACAGGGAAGCGGGTGGGCGACCCACACCTGCCAGGCACCAGTTTCTAAACCTTTTTGCAAGGGGGAGAGGGAAACCCCCCTGGCAGAAGACAAGCCAGGGGCTGGGGGGGTCAGATCTGAAAGGCAGCAGCAGCAGCAGTTCCAGGCGGAGGAGATGCATTATCTTAAAAAGCAGCTTCTTCTGGGCAGCGCCGAGGTCTCAGCTGTGGCAGAAGCCAAATCGAGAAGGCAATTAGGCCTCTGCAGCACTCTTATAGGAAAAGCATAAATCACCAAGTCCTCAAAAAGCAGGAGCTTTCGGCTTCTGCCGGGGCTGCTCCATCCACAGGGCAGAGCAGGGGGAGCATCCTCAGGACCCCGGTTGGGGAGGGGGGTCCTCAAACCAGTGCAAGGAGAGCTCGTTGGCAGGGCGAGGGGAGCAGCAGGGCTCATGGTGGGGGTCCCCAGCCACAGTGGGGGTCCCCAGCCACAGTGGCTGTGCTGGATGGTGCTGGCGTGTCCCTTTGCCAGCACGGAGCAGTCCCTGCCACCTCGTCACGCACCCGGAGTGAGATCAATCCCTCCGACACCGGAGCAAGAGGACCAGAGCCTGGGCTCTCCCTGCAATCAATGAGCTCTTTCCAGTCCCAGTCTCATGTGATTTCCAGCCATTTGGGTGAGAAGCAGGACTGGCCGTGACAGCAGAGCATCACCCTGGAGAACAGGCAGCCCCCCATGGGCTTTCCAGCACGATACACTCCCCTTCCTGCAAGTTTTCCAGTAGTTCCCATCACGGCTGGGAAGCAGAGATCCAACACTTTATCCTCAGCAATCCCCAACTTTCACGGTGGGCACCAAATAAGGCTCCTCCTGGAGCATCCCACACCAGGGTGACATTCCCTGCAGCAGCAGCAGCCCCAGAGAAGGGGGGCCACGGCCTCGTGGGTACCCCAGGTCCATGCAGCAACACTCCAGCCCTGGCGATGAGGGTCCCAGCCTTGGCACGGCCCCAGGAGACCACGTAGCTCCACCACAAGCATCTGCAGCAGGACCCAGCTGGGGCAGAGCGGGGAGGGCAGGAAGAACCACCACCTCCAGCCTCACCCTCCACCAACGCAGAAAACAACTGGTTTCTTCCTTTTTTTTAAGCTGCCAGCAAATACATCCATCCAAGGGCTCGGTGAGCTGAGCAGGACTGGCCCCGTGGGCTCTGAACCCCCCGCAGCAGCCCCCACTCCAGCGCAGGGGGGTCAAAATAAACATCAGGACAATATCCCAGTTTAAAGGTGTTTTTTCTCCCCTCTGGAAGGCAGGAACCAGTGAGCAGAATCCATTTGGAAAGCCTCCTCCAGCGGCAGCTCTGGCTCCAAGTCTTATTCCTCCATCCATGGTCGGTGCTGGGCCCACAGCTCCATGGGGCAGCGGAGATCACACCTGGGGGCTGCAGACCCCCATCCCCACACCGCTGGAAGGAGCCATGCCCTAGCCAGGTCACTCCTGTGGCAAGAAGATGATGATCCAAGGAGCCCAGGTACATTCCTGCTGGAACCGAGGGTGCCTGCGTGGGTGCTGGAGGATGCCCAGGCTCTGCCCGTAGCTCCGTGGCCACCTCTTGCCATCCTTCCCAACTGCTTCTGCAGGGCAGCCCAGGAACAGTCGATGCAACATCCCTCCTGGTCCAGTGCTCAGGAATCACGGCTTAGAGACTCCACAGAGGGGGATAAAACCCACCTGGAGACTCCACGTTGCTCTCTTGGCATCTTCTCTGCTGAAAAGCCCACCTTCCCTCCCCTGCCCCTTCCCTGAAAAAAGTTGGGTTTTTTTTAAAAAAACAAAACAAAACAAAACAAAACCATCCCATGGAAGCTTGTTGCAAACAACCCAGGGAAGGGCAGGCTGCGGGACCTTCACCACCCAAAAAACACCCCCCTGCTCCTGCACCCTCACCTCAGAGGAGGACGGGAGCACCATGGATGCTCCTGCACCCGCATCCCACAAAAACATCCCTCACCTCCAAGCAGGATCGGGGTCCTGCCCCACAAAACCGTGTCCACGGAGGGGTACGTGCGAGGACACGGGGCAGCTCAGAACCCCCCCTCAGGGGGCTGCACTGGGGGCTTCCCATCTGCCGGTGGGACCCCAAACTGGGCTGGTTTCCCTGCAAAGCCCAGGACACGATGCCTGCAGCAAGAGGTGGCAAAGGCACCACAAACCCACCCCCAGGTGACATCAGTGACACCCAGGTCCGGGCCAGGCGAGAGGAGGTGGTGGGGGCTGCACAGCCAGGGAAGATGTTTTCCTTCTGGAGTCCCCTTCAGCATGTGCCAGACAAATATGGTGAAGATATGAAGGAGGTTACAATATTTTTTTTTTTTACGAGAAAGGCTGGCAAGGAATATCTCGTATGTAGAGTGTTTTTAATTGGATTATGTACATCATGCTTCATGCCTTTGTTAACCGATTTAATGGTTCACCACTTAAGTTCACCACTTGCGTTAAATTTAGTAAAGTAGTCTAATCATTTCCAGAGCTATAACCAAATCAAGGGCTCAATTTCACAGAAGCCTGAAGCAGGGGAACTGGGAGACAATGGCCTAGATGCATAAAATTAACAGTTCTTGACCTCAAAAGGGGCAAAAAAAAAAAAGAAAAGGTTTTAATGATTCGGTGTGTGGGTTTTGTCGTGGCACCTGCAGGGTCCCCTTCTCTGGACAGCAGAGCCACCCGCCCCCCCC